ATTCCTTTATTTCTTGCTGGATTGTTCTGGCTAGGACATTCAGTACTATTCTGAATAAAAGTGGTGAAAGCATGTCTGTCTTGTTCCAACTGTCAGAGAGAAAGCTCTCAGCTTTTCCTCATTCGTTACTGTTAGCTGTTGGCCTTTACTATGTTGAGGCATATTCCTTCTATACCTAATAATGTGCAGCACTTTTCTTATGAAGGGATGTGGAGTTTCATCAAATACAGTTTTTGCATCTATTGAGATGATCAGATGATTTTTCCTTTATTCTGTTGATGTAGTGTATCACATTTATTGTGTATGTTGAATAAGCCTTGCATCACTGGGATGAATCCCTCTTGATCATGTGACTAATATTTATAATGTGCTGTTGGATTCAATTTGCTAGTATTTTGTTGTGAAGTTTTGCATCTACTGTCACCAAAGATACTGATCTGTAGTTCTTTTTTGTGATGTTCTTGTCTTTGTTTTAAAGCCAAGGTAACGCTGGCCTCATAAAATGTTTGGAAGAATTCGCTCCTTCAGTTGTTTGGGATAACTTAAGAAGAGCTCATATTAGTTCTTTAAGTATTTGGTAGGACTCAGGGGTGAAGCTTTCTGGTTTGGGGTTATGCTTGGATGAGAGACTTTCCATTACTGTTTGATCTTGTTACTCCTTATTGGTCTGTTTAGGTTTTCTATTTCTTCATGATTCAATCTTGGTAATGTGTATGTGTCTAAGAATTTGCCCATTTCTTCTCGGTCATCAAATTTACTGGCATATAGTTGTTCATAATACTCTCTAATGATTCTTTGTATTTCTGTAATGTCATCCTCTTTATCCATGATTTATTTGTGTCTTCTATTTTTCTTAGTCTAGTTAAGGGTTTGTCTATTTTGTTTATCTTTTTGAAGAAGCAGCTCTTTGTTTCACTGATCTTTTGTTATTTTTTAGCCTACTTCATGTATTTGTGCTCAGATACTTATTATCTCATTTCTTCTACTAATTTTCAGTTTGGTTTGTTCTTGTTTTTCTAGTTCCATGACATGCAGCAATTGGTTATTTATTTGAGATCTTTTTTTAGTATAAATACTGGTTGCTATAAACTTTCTTCACAATACCGCTTTTGCCTTATTCCATAGGTTTTGGTATGTTGTGTGTCTATTTCCAATTGATATAACAAAATTTTAATATCCTTCTTAATTTCTTGTTTGATCCATTGGTTGTTCAAGAGTAAGTGGCTTGTGGCACATACCTGTAATCCCAGCACTCGGGAGGCTGAGGCGAGAGGATCATTACGAGTTCAAGACCAGCCTGGGCTACAAAGTGAACTCAAGGCCAGCCTGAACTGCATAGCAAGACCTGTCTCACAAAGAGAAAAAAAAAGAGTAAGTGGTGTAATTTTCATGAATTTGTATCATTTCCAAAATTTTTCTTGTTATTTCTTGTTTTATTGCTTTGTGGTCAGAAAAAAATGCTTGATATGATATCATTTCTTTTAAGTTTGCTATTTGTTTTATGGCCTATCATATAATTTGTCCTGGAGAATGTTCCATGTGCTGATGAGAAGAATGTGTGTCCTGCAGCTGTTGGGTGGAATGTTATGTAATATCTGTTAAATCTATTTAGTCTAAGGTGCAGTTTAATGCTGTTATTTCTATGGTGACTTTCTTTCTGAATGGTCCTTTTTTGCTGAAAATGAGGTGTTAAAGTCCCCTATTACTATTGTATTGGAGTCTATCTTTCCCTTTAGGCCTTATTCATATTTATATTATATATTTGTGTGCTCCAATGTTGGATGCATATATATTTAGAATTGTTATTTTTTCTTAATGAATCAACTGCTTCATCATGTTATAATGATTTTCCTTTTCTTCTTTCCTTTAGTAATTCTGATTTGAAGTATATTTTATCTGATATAAGTATTGGCTATTCTAATTGATTTTTGTTTCCATGTGCATGAAACATCTATATTTGCAGACAGGGTTTCTCTGTGTTGTTCAGGCTAGCCTTCCATGAATGATCCCTTTGCTTCAATGTCCTGAATAACGGAGATTGTAGGAACAAATCATAGTGCATAGTCTTGCATGCAGTATGGTGTTACATCCCTTCACTTTCAGTCTATATATGTTCTGCGGGTGTAGTGAGTTTATTGTAAACAACATACAGTTGAGTCTTGTTTTTATCCATTCAATTACTCTGTGTCTTTTAATTGAAGAATTAACTCCATTTACATTCAAGGTAATTATTGATAGACAAGGTCTTACTATAAACATTTTGTAATTTCTAATTTTATTGTGGTTCCTTTTTACTGTCTTTGTGGTTAAGTGATTTACTGTACTAGTGTGTTTTGATTCCTTGCTTATTATTGTTGGCTTGTCTATTAAAGATTTTTGCTTTGTAGTTATCATGAGACTTACAAAAAACTCTTTTGATTATAGCAAGCTATTTTGAAATATAGCAATTTGACATGATTGTAAAGATAGCAAAACAAAAAGAAACAGAAAATACACCAATTTAAAAATCTCTAAATTTGCACTCAATTTCTCCCCACATTTTGAATTTTTGATGTTTCATTTTATATATTTCTCTATTGCCTGTCTCTCAATAGATTGATATAATTATTATTTTTAATTGTTTTGCTTTTCAGTCTTTATAAAGAGATAGGAATGGTTTGTGCAACATGTTCACAGTATTAGGAGATTATAAATTTGGTGTATATAGGTATTTACCAGTGAGTTTTATGCCTTCCAATGTTTTCTTGTTGCTCATTAGTTTCTCTTTTGTTTAGTTTGAAGAAGTTTTTTTTTTTTACCATTTCTTATAGGACAGGTCTTGTGGACATATATTCTTTCAGCTTTTCTTTGGGAAATTTCATTCCTTTCTAAAGGACAATTTTGCTGTATACAGTATTCTTAGTTGGCAGTTTTATTTTCCCTTTCATACTATGAAAAAAAAAATGTTACTCTGTTTTAGCTTGTAAATATTCTGCTGAGACATCTGCTTCCTTGACATATTCTCTTTATCTTTCACTTTTGAGAGCTTGGATTAATTGAGTTAAGTATGACTGGTGAGCTTTGTTCTTCTTGCATTTGGATATTTGTATTCTTCTATAGATTTGGGAAGTTTTTTTGTTATGATCTCTTTGTGTAAGTTTCCACATTGTTAGCATTCTCAAGTTTGTCTTGAACCCCCAAAGCTCAAATATTTGCTCCTTTAGTGCTGTCACAAAGTTCCCATCGGCTTTCTTCACTTCTCCTTATTCTTTTTTCTTCCCTGTGTATTTTCAAATAGCCTGTTTTTCATCATATCACAGCGATATATGTGCACCTATGTTCATAGCAACACAATTTGTAATTGCTAAATTGTGGAAGCAACCCAAATGTCCATCCACTGAGGATTGGATAAGAAAATTGTGGTACTTTTATATATGGAATATTACTCAGCTGTAAAGAAAGATAAACTCGCGGCTTTTATAGGTAAATGGTCACAACTAGAGACCAAACTCATAAGTGAAATAAATCAAACATACATGTGCGAGCACTGCATTGTTTCACTAGTGTAAAACCTGAAAGGGTTAATTTAAACGAGGAGGTATGATAGACATTGTGAAATGATAGGAAAGCACTCAAGGGTAAAGGGCAACTGGGATGTAGGAAAAGAGAAGGGAAAGAAGGAGAAATTTTGTATGTAGGTACATGCAGGATAGTTAACATGGCTGTTCTACTGTCTTGTATTTCTTTGCTGAAAGAAACTGTCAATGAGTCCTTGGTTGATCAGTATTGCATGTCTCTATCTGTTTTCATGAGAAACCACTTTGAAGATATCAATATGTAATAGAACAAACATTGTTAATTTCCTACCACTTTGTTTGCAACTCTTTTGGGAAGATACCCAGAAGAGGAATATCTGGGTTGAATAGGACCTGTAATCCTAGTTTTTTGAGGAATCTCCATAATAATTTCTGCAGTGGTTGCACCAGTCTGCACTCCTACCAGTGGTGGAGAAGGGTACCTTTCTCCTCACAGTCTTACCAGTGTTTGCTATTGGTTGATTTCTTGATGATAGCCATTCTTTCTGGAGTGAGATGAAATCTCAGTGTTTTAATTTGCATCTCTCAAATGGCCAATGATGTTGAACATTTTTTCATATATTTATTGGCCATTTTTATTTCTTCATCTGAGAAGTGCATAGTCTTCTCAGCTGTCCGTTTTTAGATTGGGTCTTTGAATTTTGGGGGGGTTCTGATTTTTTTTCAATTCTTTATATGTTCAGATAGAAATCCCTTCATAAACAACTGGTAAAATATTTCCTGATTCTGTGGGTTGTCTTTTCAGTCTGTTGGTGGTTTCTTTTGATGTGCAAAAGTTTTTAATAAAATGAGAATTTGGGCAGGATGTCAAGTAGACCAATGGGCCACAATTTCAGATCCAGCCCCCTGTGAAAGTCACACATGACTGGCTGGAGTGGGGATAGAGAATCCCTGTGTCCTTCCTTGCCCAAGCTTAAACTTCTCAGGGGATATCTTCGTCTAGCTTGTGTCCTCTCCTTGACTGTCTCATCAGGCCATCTCTAACCCAGTCACTGTGGTAGGGTGACATCGAGAACCCTGAAGTATAGCTGTTCTCTGGCTCAGTCTTAAATAGTTAACTCCTTCTCCAAATGATTTCTGATTAAACACTCTCAAATACGGTAGATGCTGCACTGAATTTGTTCTACAACTGCAGCTTGCCATCTGAGAGGAGTCACTTTCAAAGTAAAATCTGACACTGTTTTTGCACTTTACAGTGGCAGTGGGCTTTTCTTGGGGCTAGTGCTACAGGCCTGGTCCATTTTTTTCTCCCTGCAACTGCCAATGAGACAGGTCTGTCTCTCTGGGCACTGGGGTATACTTTTCATACTGCTTTTTCCTTTTCTCTGCTTCTCCAGCTTCTCTGTAGCTTCTAGCTTTTCTGTCAGCTCTCTCCAGATTCCTGGAGATCTACTTTTTTCTTTTCACCAAATTCTTGTTTTCCAGGTATCTTGATTCCAGGCCCCTGAGAGGCTATATTTTACTGCTGGTTTGTACTCCACTACTTTTAATTTCTTCATCTTTTTTATTTTTAAAACTAACTGTATTTTACTAGATTCTGTTGAATCTGAGTAAATGATTGACTAGGTAAGTCTGATGGAGGAGGAGTAATGTTTTAGACTTTTCTTCTCTGTTCTTTATTCTCTAAGTACTAATCCAGTGATGATGAACCTTTTAGAGCTTGCAGTGATACAAACAGCCTGCTGCAGCAAATTTGCCATAGGTTTGCCACCAGAATATTAATTTAAAACTTGTTGCAATTGGTACCAGATGTTATTTGCTTTCTATTGGCTAGAAATGCTTTTTATCCTGGATATGTTATTCCTAAGTAAGGAAACAAATGTTTATTTCTTGCTTATATAAAACTTTTTGCATACCTTATAACCTCAACAGAGCCAAAATCACATTTTACTTTCTAAAATCATAGTACTTAGGTTTAGTGAACTCAGATTTTGTGATTTCCACACCGAGTTAAAATATCTATTATATTTTCCAGAGGTACAGTATTTAAATATAGGATATATTTATTTATCATTGTTTAGCCTTTACAGTTGTCATGTATGAATATATATCACCCATGGTCTCATAATAAATAATAGAAATAAGTAGGTATGGCCTGTTAATTACAAGATCCCAGAACACATGTGCAGAACAGTTCCCAGAGCCCTATAATGTGGACTTCTTATGAGAATTCAAACGGGCTTTCAGAAGGATGGCCTAGACCTGATATTAGCCTGAGGTGTGGGATTCCAGCACTGCTTCTCGGGACCTGTATGTAGAAGTTCTTGTGGGTTTCCACGAGATTTCTACAGTGCAGAAGGATAAGACACCCCAAAGAGCTTGCTATTATGGTTTTCTTCATGAAAGCCCACACTGCTTTCTCCAGGGTGTCCTTTTTCTTTTTCCCCTTTTACTCAGCCCAAGCTTGCTCTGCAGAGCCAATTTCTTTCTCAGTCTTTACTTTTACTTTTTCAAATAAACTTTTGCACTACTTTTTGTGTTTCATTCAATTCTTTGTTCCGGATGAGAAGAAGCTGGAACCCATCTCCAAGTGAGGAAAACAATCCAGAACCTGGCAATATTTATTCGGTGAGCCACTTTTAGAAGGAGCTACCGAATAACATTTATATGCACAAATATTAATGGTGCACTAGCTCAAAGAAAATTTGTACCAATTTTAATGCTGTTTGATGTTAATTTCTTTATTTTCCCTTCTGTCCTTACCTGACATCTCATGATTTTGGCATTATTTACCATGTTCTGCATGGTCGTGTAGTGTGAGCTAGGGAAAGATTTCAGAGGTAATGGAAAATGTATTACTGATGAACTATGATTTTGCATATTTGATGTAGTAACTACTGTGTGCTAAAATGTCTTTACCTGAAAACTAATGTAGTGAGGATAACCTAGGTAGCATAATATTACCTTGAAAAGTTATATAATCATACTGCCATGTGTTTTTAACTTAAAATGGTCATAAATACCGCCTATTCTTAATGCAAAATGGAATATATTAGCACCACCTAGTGGAAATATAATGAAGTGTATACTAGTCATTTCAACCACAATGCTATTTAAAATAGAAAATAATTTAGAACTAGAAGAAATCTTACAGTTTCTAGCCATTATGTTATTTCTTCCTTGATTTCTTCTGTGACTTGTTGGGTTATTAAAAAATGTGTTGGGTTTGTTTGTGCATTTACCTAATTTCTGTGTTTCCTTTTGACGTTTATTTCTAGTTTCATTGTGCTACTCTCATAAGCATGGTATAATTTTGATTCTTTTGTATTTACTTATATTTACTTTGTTGGGTACTATATGGTATATTTTGGAGAAAGTTTGTGTGCTGCTGAGATGAATATATAGTCTGTTGTTTGGTGGAACACACTGTAGACATGTATTAAATCCACTTGTTTGAAGGTGTAGTTCAATATTTCTTGGTTGCTTTTTTTCCTCTCGCTGATCCATCTATTTGTGACAGTAGGGTATTGCTATCCCCTCACTATAACTGTGTTGATGTTTATCTGCTCTCTTATGTCCAGTAGTGTTTGTTTTATGAAGTTGGGTGCACAAGTGCTTTTTTTTTTTTTAATAAGTGCTCTCCAGAATCTGCAGTCTTAGCCAGGGATATAGTTCAGTGGCATCAGCTCCTGCCTGTCAAGCACAAGGTCCTGAGTTTGATTCCTGGTACCAAAAAAAAAAAAAAACAAAACCCAGACTTTGCAGTCTTAGAATCCTGCAATCATAGTTTCTCTTTCTGCGTAGCTTTATAGCCTGTGGGTTTGGGAGCTACTCCTACCCCTCCATTCCAGAGGCCCATATGGTCTTATACTGTGGCAACCGTCCAAACTAAGACATGTCTTTGTTCATGTTGGCAGAGGAGGGAAAGCAATCATGCCAGTGATCTCTGTGCTCTATGTAGGCATTGGAGTGCAACTTAAGCCAATTGCTAGACTTAATGCCAGCATTTAAGTTCCAGCCACCTCCGAAAGACACACTGTCCAGGCCTAATTTCTCACCACAGAAGGCAGAACCCCATGTCCACCTATGTCTAGCCCATGACTTCTCTATACCTGTCTCTTATAACTAGCTTACACAGTCACTCTTGTAAGATAACACTGGAAACCTTGCAATGAAGTTATTCTGTAGCTGTTGTATGGCATAGTTTTAAACAATTGACTCCTTCCCCAAAGTGGCTCCTGATTAAAGCTTCTCAAATGTGGCAGGTTCTGCAGTGGATGTCTTCTCCAGCTCTAATCTGCTGTGTGGAAGGAGTCGCTATGGGAGTAAAACCATATACTGCTTTCGCAGTTTATAATAGCTGTGGACTTTTCTTGTGGTTAGTACTGTAGGCCTGGTCCGTTGTTTGTCACTGGAGCTGCCACTCCTCCAGGCTTACCTCCTCTCCCCAGACACTGGCGTTGTCCTTGATCAGGTCAGTTGGTAGTCAGTTAGCTGTGCTCCCCTGTTCCAAGGGGAAAAAACCTCAGTGTAGCCTTGGAGTTAGCTAGGAGCCATGGCGAGTACCCAGAATTGATGGTTGTGGAGGTAGCTGCAGGTAAACGCAGCCTTCAAACTTTCTTGGCCAAGTCATGTATCTCCCCCCTTCAATTTTCTTTTGTCTTTTTTGAGACAGGGTCTCGCTATGCAGTTCAGGCTGGCCTTGAACTCACTTTGTAGCCCAGGCGGGTCTCAAACTTGCAATGATCCTCCTGCCTCAGCCTCCTTAGTGCTGGGATTACAGGCATGCGCCACCATGCTCCACTTCTCCCCTTCAATTTTGTGAGCTTTTCTTTCATGTATTTTTGGGCATATAAAACTGTTATACTTTCCTAATATGTTGTGCATTTAGCATTTGAATATTCCCTCTTTATCTGTAGTGACTTTTTTTTTGCCTTGAAGTCTATTTTGTCTGATATTAACACAGCCACTGTAAATCTCTTATGGTTGTTGTTGACTTGTTATATTTTGTTCTGCACCTTTACTGTGTACCTCTTTACATCTTTGAATCTAGACAGTGTCTTTTGTAGATAGTGTATATTGAATCTTATTTTTAATCTAATTTGAAAATGTTTGCTTTTTTATTGTATCATTTAATCCATCTATATATAATGTTAATATTAATGCTGTTGGATTTATGCTTAATGTTTTGGTTTTTCTTTTCTTTTATATTTGTAACTTTTTGTCTTTTACTTTTTCTGCCTCTTTTTATCTTAAATAGTTATTTAAGAATATTAATGAATTTATCTTATTGAGTTAAAATATATAACAAAATTTGTCATTTTATTTATTTTAAGTATTTAATTCATTAGCATTAATTGATTTCATAATATTAGAAAGTAGGGTCATACATCACCATTTGTTTCCCATACTTTTTTTTTTGGTTTTTCTCCGGTACCGGGAACCAAACTCACGACCTTGCGCATGCCAGGCAGGTGCTTTTGCCACTGAGATAAATCCCCAGCCCCTTATTTCCCATACTTTTTCATCACTTGAAACTGAAAGTATAACTTTAACTCTCCAGCCCTCCCTCCCCTCACCCCCTGGTAATCTACTTTCTGTCTTTATGAATTTACTTATTATGGATGTTTCATACAAATGGGGGCACTCTATATAATAATTACATCTATCTTGATCATTTTTACTTCCCTCCCTCGACACTCTCCTCTCTGCCCACTTCCTCAGGTCCCCTTCCCATTCCACAAATTCTATCTCTGTATTTCCTACCATTTCTCTTTTATTTTGCTCTTTAGATCATGATTTTTCATATAAGAGGAAACATGTGATTTTTAGCCTTCTGGTATGATTTATTTGAGTTAGCATTGTGGTTTTGAGATTCATTCATTTCCTTATAAATAACTCAAATTTATTATTTTTATGGATGAGTAGGACTCTATTATATATACATTTATGATATAAATTCATCAGACCACTTCTATAAGCTATTTATCATGAACTGTAGTGCTATAAATATGGATATGCATGTATCATTATCATTTGATAGCATTTACTTTTATGAGAAGAGACCTGGAAGAGGTATAGCTAAGTCAAATGGAATTTTTATTTTTTTCAGCATTCTCCATATTAATTTCCATAGTGGTCGCATAGTTTACTTTTCCTCCAACAATGTTGAAGGTTTCTTTTCTACTGCAACCTTGCTAGCGGTTGTTTTTTGAGTCTTTGATTATTGCCATAGCTATTAGAATAAATGGTATCTCATTGTTGTTATGATTTGTATTTTACTAATGGTCAGAGATGTTGAAAATTTTTTTCATGAACCTGTTGGCCACTTGTACTTCTTTTGAGAAGTGCATAGCCATTTCAGTCGTCCATGCTTTGACTGGGTCTTTTATTTTACCGAGTATATTTTTCTTTTTAGTTGTTTATATATTTAGATATTAGTCCTTTGTTTGAGGAGTAGCTCCAAAATGTTTTCTGCATTCTGTCTGTGGTCTCTTCACTATGTTGGTTGTTTTCTTTGTTGTACAG